AAATGAGAAGTCTAGTCAATGAAAATCAAGACGGTTATGAATATAACACAAATTGTTTTTTTGACAAGCGGAGCTTGAAAGTGAGTGCTTAAATTTATTTGTACGTAGCGCTGTCGCAATCGCTGACTCACAAACTGAGATACGCTTGTAAAGAAGGTGACTTCCCAACTGTATGTTTTACAAAGTTCCGGGCTCCCACGATCGAGATATTTTCTGACTGAAATAGGTGTAGATAAAAATAGGCAAGTGCACAAGCAATATTGAAAGAATTGCTGGGCTGTCTTCATGCCATCCCCTAAAAAACTATGAAAGGAGGCATCGACTTATTGTGCAAATTCAAAGTCAAATGCACAGAGAAAATCACAAGTTTGGAGGAAGTGACATGATGCGATTGCAAGACATGCAGCCGAAACACACTGACAATTATATGTTAATTCATCATGTAGTATGGCATTTTGGAAAGAATGATAAATTAAAGATGAACTTACTTCAACTCTTTCAATTTTGCTTATTCGCCATTTTCAAAGTTGTGATTGAATTCTGTCACTTGTCTTTATTCTTAGGCCACAGTTGCGTAATCCTCTGCACAACACTTAACATGGCGATTCACTAGCTCGCAGAAGTGCGCACTGTTGCTTGATAGGCAAGAAAAAAGGCCCATACATGCTTGCAATTACAAAGCGTGTGTTGCATACGAGGCCATGTAAATTGGTTAATTTGATGACACTGGTTGGTAGTATTTGAAGTAGGTTTTAATCGGAAGTTGGCCAACTACGAGAACCCGATTATAGTGGCGCGTACATGAATAGATGTACTCTGGTGAATGCATTTTTGCAGCACAAATATGGTGAGTGAAACCCGCAATAATACGTTTACTGATATGGAGGAAGCGGCACACACAAACCAATGTAATCAATGAAATGAACATAATTCTGCACAGAGGTAGGCATTTGTATCTTACGGAATCAATAAGACTAGAAAAGGAATTGCAGCAACAAGCATTTGGCCTTTCTTTGTGTGACGCAGGCCTTCTGCTAAAAATAAAGCCAAAAAAATAATTGCATGTCTAAAGGGAAATAACCATGAGCTTGTTCATGGCTAATCATTGAGCTGTTGGTTGTCCCATTTCCCCATCTGCACTTACTGTCCCTAAACTCAACTGCATTAAATGCAGCATTATGCTGTAGTTATGCATCCAAATTTGACCACTTGTCGTTCCTTAAATACTGAACATTCAGCCGATGCATCTGTGGTAATCAGCGACTCGTTTTGTCTCCAATTCTGCACAGATGTGACCACGAAACATGGAGGGAGTAGACACACTTTTTGAATGACAATTAGTCTCCCAATTAGAAATAAAAACAGTCTATTGCTTGGTGGCTAAGATGTCCATCCAAGGCCTTAATTGGCACACGTTATCATTTGATGAATTTCACGACTCCATGTTTTTACCATTGCTGAACACGTCGCTGAATATTATAGATCGACGCACGGCTCCCTTGTAAGTGCATCTGTGGAATACGTCAAGTGAATTCTTCTTTCTCCATCTAAGCAAATTTTGGTCTAGTGATTTTATCTCTGCAAAAACATTCAATCTTGCATTGCTGGACAGTGGTTGCATAAATGTGATCAATTGGATGCGTGTTTTACCAGTAAAACCAGGTTAAATAAACCGCTAACGTATAAGACTAGCACAGCCCTTTCTCCGTCAACCTTCATGACAATCCTATAGGATGGTTGTTTAGTTTTGCAATTTAGAGTTTTTAATGCAATGGTAGCACTCCTTTAAGTAGGCTTTTAAAGCCATGGATAAACATGTCATGCTAATGACGGGTTTAGTCAAAATTTTCACGCTGGAATCCAATCCTCTGTCACCAACAATGCTTTCCGAGTTTTTCTCTGTCGACAAACGTCATTTTATCCCCTTCTTTCTTACAATAAGCCAGATGTTCTACAAACCATTTTCCTCTCTTCACGTGAAATTAAATATCAATGAAGCTAGTGACTGAGCTCCGTTATAGAGAGGAAGTGATTACTTTGGCACCAGATGGACATGGTGGAAGTTGTGCAGGCGTGTGCGCAAAAGAGTGACCACGCAATAAGGACTAAATAAATTAGACTAATGTCAAGTAACCAAACTCCGTCAAGTTTTGAATAAACGGTCATGTTTAAATTCCACCACAGACAAGGCAAAATGTGTCCTCATTCGTGACTTTATTCTGAACGACAGTCATCTCAAGCAATGGCTTTAATCACAAGGCTAGAAATAAATATGTTTAAATAAAATTAACAAAAATGTGCATAAGAGAGGTTTAGGAATCGTTTTGAATACCATCACTACAATGTCTTCTGGCTAAAGGCGATCTAGGCCAATCCGAACTGTGATCTTCACGGAATCTCTTGGCACATGGATTCAGTTTGATTTTTTCTCGCTTTACGTCATTGCTTTCATACTCTGTCACCACTACGAACTTCGTTTCAGGGATGAAGAAGGAGCCCACACACCCAATGTAAAAGGGACCAACCCTGAGTTTATTGAGAGGCTCTTCACCCCTTTTGCTTTCGCATGCCGTGAAATATGGTTTCGGTGATGGTATTTGCATTTGCTGTGTACAAACATCTGCAGACGAAATGCAAATGCAAATACTGTCTCCATGACAACGACTTCCATCACGATTAGTTAAATGCTGCTATCCAGAAACCAACTCATTCCACTGCATTAGGACCCACTAGCAAGATTTGCGCACACTCCGGATCCAAAAAATGCATCAGCTCGCGGACGATTACATTCTGCAAGGTAATCCGTGGACCATGCGTTAGAGTCAGCATAATCGATCTACTACTTCGCAATTGAACTTGCACTTCTAGTACAATAGCATGCAAATCCTCCTAGACAAAACTGAAGAAGCGAACGATGCTTTAACGCCTAAAGATTCTAGAATTAGAAGCTAAAACTGTTGAGGGTTTGGCCCGACATTGCAGGCCTACATGTAGGTTCACAGCTGTACACCCGCGCATAGAATCAGATTCGAAAAGGCGCCCACATTCAATGGACACTTAGGTTGCTGACTTCAACCCGCCATGTCAATTGGCATGTGATTTTTGTTCCAAGTGGGAGCAAACATATCCATTTTGCGTAACAGGGCAAGAGCAAAAGCTGCCATCCAACACCTCCACCGTTTCCTCAGCCTCTAAATCTGCATGAACTTTTGTCAAACCAACAATCTTATTCTGTGTTTTCCATGTTGCATTAAGTGCAGGCATGTAGAACGCATTACTTTTCTTGCATAACGTTTTATTGAATATGATTTAAATATTATTTCATCACAGTGTGCATTTTGAGCTCCATAACCCAAATTTCTGCTGCACATTTTAAGGCCGTTTAGCATTAAGGTTAAAGAGATTCGAGAATTCTTGGAAGAGAAGTCCATGAATCAACTACGACGTTTCTTAAACATGATTAACTTTTGCCATCTCTTGCTTCTCAACGCAACTCAGAGAATCCTGCCTCTAGCCAATCCACTCCAGTGTTGCTTCGAATGCCATGTATAACAGACTAGTCTCGTGAAACCTTCAGAGTTGTAAAGAATGCTTTGTCAAAAAAACCACGTTAGTTTGTCAATGACTGAATGTCCGCTGTCCTTCTTAAGCGAAACTCTTGTCATACTGAAGAAGTTTTCATTAGCTTGTAACCTGGGTTGAAAGTTTTAATTAGAGGCATGATACTTTTCTAACGAGAATCATCAACGCCAAAAAGTATTACTTTAATCCAAATTGTTTTGCATTTTCCGTTGGCTGCAGACAAAACGACTGCAAGTCGATACTTGATGCCCCTTAATTCTCCCAAACATGCATGTTTTCACATAACTAGAATACACATATTTCTGCGTTCAGGTCAATGTATTCCTGCAAGTCCAATTAAGGAGCACAAAATTAAGATCCAAACTGACAAAATTTGGAGTCGAGCAGCACCTCTAACTTGTTTCCCGGGCGTGGGCGGCAGCATGGAGTGCCACAGAACAACCCAGTTGTACTTATAGTGACATGGTCTAGCAATGCTGATTCAAACAACACGATAACACTCTGC